CTTCAGTGAGGTTTGCTCAAAGAAGGGCCTGGACAGCAGGGCTGGGTGTAAGGTGAAGCAAGGGAGATATCCAACGTGTGAAATATCAGTAGCAGTTGCTCTGGGTCACTCAAGGCCAGCCTGCCTGCTGCCTCACCTTAGCCTTGACCTGGCAGGACAGGAGCCCTAGAGAGTGCAGCCCTGAGCAGAACTTTACTCTGGACTCTATAGGAGCTACTGTTTACACTTGTCAACTTGGCAAGTCAGATGGGTAAAGAAACTGACCCATCTTCTGGCAGCCCCCACTCCTTCTAAGAGCACCCCAAAGCACATCCTACACACATTTTGGGGCTGCTTTCCCAGCAGCCCAAGCCAATTATGATTCCATGGGCTCCTGTGAAGTGGAAAAATACCCAAAGTGATTCATTCCGACCCCATTTGCATACCTCCCAGAAACGAACACACTGGGGAAAACTGTGATCGCTCTCACACGGCAGCCTTTTGGGGAAAACCAAGGTGAGTCAGAACCAATTAGGAAAAACAGATGTGTAGGGACAGCTCGGGAAGGCAGTTGGGACAGAAATCCTTGTATGCATTTTGGAAAAATGTGGATTAAACAAGATTGCCTTAGAGGTTGCTCATAAAGCAGGTGAGCACTCTGGCTGCTGGGTAACTTGTCCCTCAGGGATTGTTGGCTCGGTGGTATAGGTGGCGTTTGGGAGGGGCTAGTCTGGAAATTTGCCAAGTTGGACTCCACTGTTTGTTCAGGAGGCCGTGAAGTTACTGAATTTTACTGCATTTCTCCTTCTCCTCTGTATAGCAGGATGAACACTAAACACCCTGCTTAAGTCCCAGGTGGTAAAATGGTCTTGGGCCAGTTTGTGCTGCTGGAACAGAAAGCCCATGATTGGATCATTTATATAGAAAAGTAGTTTATTGGGCTCAGGGATTTGGAGGCTGGGAAATCCAAGATGCAAAGGTTGCATCTTGCGAGGACCACCTTGCTGTGTGAACCCATGACAGAGGTGAAAAGAGAGTGCTGGAGAGGAAGAGATCAGACTCCCGGCCTCGAGACCTTTCATCAACACTTGAGTCCATCTGTAAGAGTGGAACCTTGGGAGTGGCACTGTGTTGGAGCAGAGTGGTTTCAAATGCCGCCTGGGATTGGCTTTTCATGTGGGCACTAGTTCGTGGCCTAGCTGCTACATCTCCAATTCAACTCTGTGTTAGTGTGCCTGGGAAAAGCAGCTGAGGACAGCCCTAGTCCTGGGCCCCAGCACCCACATGGGAGACCTGGAAGAAGCTCCTGGCTTCAGCTTGTCTCAGTCCTGGCCATTGAAGTCACTTGGGGGGCGAACCAGCAGATGGAAGATCTCTGTCCAAATAAATAATTTTTTAAGAGTAAAACATAAGCACTTAAACCCCTTCCAACATGGCAGCCCTGAGGATGAAGTTTTGAGCACATGTTCAAACCATTGCAAAGACCATGTGAAGGAAAGGAATAAGAAGGCTGTGGTGGCTGCACAAATAGCTACAGGCAAACATAAAAGGCTGTTGTTTTTTATCTTTTATTGGCCAATTTTCCAGTTGTCCTGATTACCTAGTCATACCCCAGTTTTGAACATCTGTCTCCTGGGTGCCCCGCCACTGAACCCCAGCACTGAATCAAGCAACATTGGCCTTCAAAGGGGCAGACACCCAGGAAAGCAGCTGTGCTTATGATTTGTTGAGAGAGCATAGATTGAACCACTGCAAAAGAGTTTGCAACAATTACCTTATTGCCACTTATGGACAGATGCTAACGGATGTGAAGGAATTGATGTGGTAGGTGTGGCAATTCCCTACTTACTATTAGCATGTAACCTTTTAAGACAACTAAGAGAGGTAAGTGGTGTTCAGATTGTCACCACAGGAGCATGTTTCCATATTAACAGCAGACTGACGCGGATGGAATGGAAATGCTGTCTCTGATCCATGTTTGGCCAGCTTTCATCATGTTCTTAGAGAATATTGAGTCGCACGTTCTCCCCTCCCTGGTTACTGGTAGGGAGTTGGCACCTTCAGAGGAGGCCCTTGGTGTGTTCCTGGGTTCAAAGCCTGGCCCATCACTTCATTTCTCTGGGCCCCAGTTAGTCATCTGTAATCCATGATTCTTCCTTGTGTTATTGTTACAGAAATGAAGTGACACAGAAGGGGCGATGATTGTGAAAGGGCAAGGAGTGGGGGAGCTACGAGGGAGTCCTGGAATAAGGTTTCGCATGGAAGGGCTATGTCCAGGATCCCAGGAGGTGGTAGGCCTGGCATAAGGGGGCGGTGGGGACAGTTGTTGGCCACCTCGTGCACCCCCTGCCCATAGCTGCCCTGCCCTCCTCTCCCCTCACCTTCTTTCCTTCTCTCTCTCTTTTTAAAAATTTTTATTGGAAAGTAAGATATACAGAAAGAAGGAAAGACAGAGAGGAAGATCTTCCATCTGTTGATTCGCTCCCCAGGCGACCACAATAGCTGGAGCTAAGCTCATCCAAACCAAGGAGCCTGGAGCCTCTTTTGGGTCTTCCACATGGGTGCATGGTCCCAAGGCTTTGGGCCGTCCTTGACTGCTTTCCCAGGCTACAAGCAAGGAGCTGGATGGAAAGTGGGGTCATTGGGTTTAGAACTGGCACCCATATGGGATCCTGGGCACTAGGCTACTGCACCAGGCCTCCCTTCTCCATCTCCTCTCTTCCTGTTATTATTCTTTTTTTTAATTGAAATTCTTTATTTTATGCACAAAGAACAATCATGATTTTCCAAAGCATTGATATCTTATCTTAATCCTACTTGGTATACTGGCAGAAACATTGGTGGTACATGTTCAGGTCATATTTCTAAATCAGATCATGCCGGTTTGAGCACGGTCAGCAAGAGCAAGAACCCTGGCTGAACTTTTGAGGCTGACTCCAGTAGAGTTGCTCGTGACCTATCTTGTCCTCAGGAGTGCAACAAGGCAAGGGGCTGCTATTATTTTGGACTCTCTGGCCATACTAGTCCCAGCTCATACTTGGGTGGGATATGTGGACATGCATTCCAATAATTTTAGCCCTGAGTTAAAAATCTAAAGTGCTGCAGGAGCATGCATGAACCAGGGGGCTGCTTACATAGAGTGTGTTAGACTAATGATTGCCGGGACTGAACTTCATCGGGGCTTAGGAGGGTGACGGCGGTGATGGATGTGACAGGGAGGGAGAATACTCGGGGCCAGAGGACCATTGTGAAAGTAGCTGACATTGCCTGGGAAGTAGCAAGTGGTTCTGTGTGGCTGCAGTAGAGATCAGTATCAGGGAACCAGAGCCACAGTGGGTGGTGTGTGGGGACAGGATTGCCACACTCTCTGCCAAACCAGGAGTCCTCGCCTTGTCTTACAGAGAATGGGAGAGGCTGCTGAAACGATCCACAGGGGGACGTCTCAGCACAGGGGCTGGATGGAGCAGCTGCTCTGGGAAAAGCCCAAGGAGGGTTTGGAGGGACACAGCAGAGCATTTTAACAACCACAGCAGGGGTTCTGAACTTCCTTTAAAAAGAGAATCTCTATTTGGAGTGTTTAAATCCAGCAGAGGCAGGAGCCATATGTTATTAATCTGCACATATTTCCAATTCTAAATTGGTGACGCCTACTTTGTGTTCATGCCAACTATGTGACAACTTGCACAGTTCTATGAGCTTCAGCATCTAGTGTATTTCTAGGTTTTGGATGCATGGCACCAAGGCATCCCTACTTCTACAGCTTGGTAGTTGTGAATAGCAGTGGGTTTTTCACAGCTTGACTTTTAGTTTCAGGACACTCTTTAATTAAAAAGGGAAAACTTCATCCAGAAGTGTGCATAAAAATGAGTTCATCTGGTATGCTAAATTAATGGATTAGTGGTTTCTATATAAAAAAAGTGGTAGCAGTCACATTTTATTATGGTTTACATGGTTAAGCTAGATTACAAAATGACACTTGCATCAAGTGTTTGAGAAACTCCAAGCCACTCTTGGACAGTGGTGATAACCAAGACTATTCTTGCCTCGAGAGTGAAGGGTGTTAATGTGAATGACTCATGTCTATCACGCACTGGTGGACAACAATTGGCCTTCACTGTGGCTGAAGTTGGGGGCAGGGGTCACTTCAATGCCAGCTTTCATGGGGCTGTTGAGAAGAGCTTCTCTCTGAACTGCTAGGAGGGGGTGTTGCCATGTTGGGTGTCTGCTCTCTGTGGGCCCTGGAGAACTGGGGTTCTTGTTGCTACTGAAGTCAGGATACTGGAAGAGCTTGCCTCTGACTGCAGACTCTTGCCTGTGTACTCCTGTGACACCCCCACAAAGTCCAAAAGGTTGCTACAGTGGTTTGGGTGTGTTCCCTCCCCACCAAGTCCATGTGTTTGGAATTTAATCTCAAATTAATATGTTAATATTATTTAGAGGTGGAGCATTTGGGAGGTGATCAGAATCAGATGAGGTCACGAGGAGTCCCATGGCTTCATAAGGAGAGGAAAAGAGACCCATGTTCGCATGCTTGCTCTCACGTCATGTAATGGCCTCAGCCAAGTTGCCATGTAGTTGGAAGCTCCTTGCCAGCTGCTGAGCAGGTCCTGATGGCATGCTCTCAGACTCCCCAGACTTCAGAATGTGTTTTACAATGAGTTGCCTGGTCTCAGGTCTTTTGCAACACAATGTGTACTAAGCTGAGTCTGGTAGCAGCTCCATTTACCGAGCATTTAGGGGTACTGTGCACACTGTATGGACCAACGTAACCTTCCAATGAGATGGTTGTTGTTATTATTTCACATTTACAGATGAGGAACTGATGGCACAAAAAGATTAAGCATCCTCCCCCAAACACACAGCTAGCAAGGGGCAGAGTTGGGTTGAGAATCCAGCAGTGAAGAGCCAGATAACCCTACCCATGACGCTCAGTTGTGCTGCTTAAAGGCAAGCATTCGCATCAGATCCCCGGTATCTTTCCATTGTGAATTCACCTTGCGTCTGTCCACTTTTCCCGGCAGTGCTCCCCGTGCCTGCTGCAGAAGGTAGGCTATGACAATGTTCGGGAGGGGATTTCAGGAGAAATTGAGCAATATTCAGTGTAAATGGGGAGAATGTACGTAATGTAGAGATGCACATTGTTTTTTTAAAAAATTATTTATCTATTGGAAAACCAGAGACAGGTAGAGAGCGTGAGAGAGCTTCTGTCCATTGTCTATCTGGCTGGCTCACGACCCAAACAGCTGCAATGGCCAGAGCTAGGCCGATCCGAAGTCAGGAACCGGGAGATTCTTCCAAGCTTCTAAGTGTGTGCAAGCACCCAAGAACTTGGGCCATCCTCCCCTGCTTTTCCAGACACATTAGCAGGGAGCTGGATCAGAAGTAGGACAGTTGGGACTCAAACAATTCATATAGAAGCCCAGTGCTACAGGCAGTGACTTTATCCACTATACCATAAATACTGTCCCTGAGACATAGATTTTTAAAATGTTCCCTTTGGAAGTGGGCATTTAACTAACCAGTAATATGCCAGTTTAAAAAAAAAAAAAACAACAACCCTGTGTCCCTGACCCTTAACTCGGGCTCCTCCTGCCCCCAGCTTCCTATTCTTGCAGACACTGGGAGGCAGCAGTGAGACTCAAGCAAGGAGAGTCCTGCTCCCAAGAATCTCACACTGAGTTCCACACTGGCTGCTGCAGGCACAGAGGAAATGGGTTAGAAGACAGAGCTCAGATACAGATAAATAGACCAAGTACTCTGTGGAGCTGTGCTTGTGTGTGCATGGTCTGAAGGATGTTATTGTGTGTCACAAAGGCAACGGAGTCGAGCCAGATAGTCTCTACTTCCTTGTTTAAACTGCAGGCTCTAAAGCATCAAGAGGATTGGACAGACCCAGGAGAGAGAGGATGATGGCATGTGGAGGTTCTGGGACCCTGAATTGTCCTCGTGCCTATCCATATCTGATATCAGCCTTTGCAGTAAAGAGAGGTGGTCCATGAAGGTTCGGCTGAAGGCAGGGCCTTAGGAGGCATAAGGGGAAACTGGACAAGAAAGGATGAGCAAGGCAGCTGAAATGATGGGCAGCAGCAGTGTGAGGGCAGCTGGTGCAGACAGCAGAGGGCTCCCAGAATGGGCTGGAGTCCCTCAAATGCAAACAGGAAGCAGGCAGACCCAGGAAAGGCAGCCATGTCTGCTGAGGACACGGGCATGGCCAGAGCCACACATTCTGTGCCAGTGCTCATGACTGGGATGGAGGCTTATGTGTTTGCTGGGTCAGAAGGAAGTTGGAAAGAGTTTATTTCAGGATCAGCCAAAGGGATCTCCTGCTGGGAGCAATTTTATGGAGCTGTTACTTTGGGTGTTGGAACCATGAAATGAAAATAGCATTCAGAAGGGATTTAATGAGTTCTTGGGGGAGGGAAGGCAGAAGAACTTATTAGTGGAAGTCAGGGGAGCTCAGCATTGCTCCTCAACCTCATGGGATTACACAGAGAAGTTCTGCAGCCTAACCTGAGCCCTGATGTCATTGCACCTTCACCTAGCCCTGAGCAGTGATTTCCAGGCTGCCGATCCTCACTCCTGAGGTTTCGTCTGAGCCTCATGCCTACAAATCTCATATTCCTCATTCGCAGCCCACAGACTTTGGGGATCCTGCCCAGAGCAGGGCTGTCCATGACCAAGAGGCTGGCTCCGATGTGACTGTGGCTTTGAGCATGCCTTTGTCTTCCAAGCCCACCCATTACTCCCACCCTCAAGAGCGGGCAGGGAACCAGCACGTTGTAGGCAGCTCGCTCCTTTGCATCAGGAGCCGTTCCAGGTATGTGCAAAGCGAACTGACTCTGAGTCTTTGCAAAAGCCCTGATGAGGGCTAATTTGAGGCACAGAGATGGTGAGTAACATGCTTGAGATGACAGCTGGGAAGGGTAGGGACCGAATTCAAATCCTGGCTCAAAAAAACCCATGCTCTTCCACGACTGTGATCTCCTGACAGAAGACAAGAGCCATCCTTTGTTCGATGGAGCCCTTCCAGCCTGGTGGGGATAAGTGACTCCCTTCCTAGGGCAGTTGGAGACCCTCAGCTCTTGCTCTGGTTATGGACAAAATCATTTGAGCTTTCTAAGCCTCAGTTTCCAATATGGATCAGATGGGAGTAACATCCTCCCCTACTCCTTGCAGGGTTCCAAGTATAAGAGGCAAGCTGGTGTGTAGAGCCACCTGGTCACTCGGAGTGTGCATTTTATGGGAGAATCCCCAGCACTGACTGCTCAGCAAGTGCTTACCTCCTTTCTCCCATCACAGCTTACTGGGTGAAGTTGATGATCAAACATTTTGGCTTTGAGCTGATGCAGCTCTCACTCTAACCAGAAGTAAAGGCATTTATGATTCCTTCTAGTCTGGGCACTGGGGGAAAGGATAGGGAGAAAAGGATAGGGAGAAATCCACCTAAGACGCAAAGCTTGTATTTGTGCTGGCACAAGAAATAATTATGCAGTTTTTTTGGGGGGGGGATGTTGTAAATTTGAAAGGCAGAGATACAGGGAATGAGAGACAGACAGAGAGAGATCTTTTATCAGTTGGTTCACTACGCAGCAAGGGCTGGACCAGGCTAGAACTCTGTTCAGATCTCCTATGTGGCGGGCAGGGATGTGCTTAGACCATCACAGCCACCTCCTTGAGTGTGCATTAGCACGAAGCTGGACTCAAAACAGGAGCTGGACTCAAATCCAGCTGTTCTGAGATGGGGTGCAAGTGTCCCAGCTGGAGTCTCTCAGCTACTGCACCAAAGGATCTCCTCGAAAGGTAATTTCTTTTTGCATTTCATATGCAAACCAACTAATCTGAAGCTCACACTTTGCCTCCTCTTTGGGGGCCTAACAGGGCTGTTACATTTGGGGTCACTCTTCCTCAAAACCTGACCTAATCACTCAGGGCCCCCAGACCCTCCTGAAATGACTCCAGTTGGCCAATGTCATGCCTGCTTACCTCACTTTCCCACTCCTCCCCATGGAAATCCTACCGAAGGCCAAGCTTTCCCTTCATTCCCTCTGCCTTCTGACCATCTCAGGTGCTTCCTCTGCACGTGGCCTTCTTAGTGTGACATGCTGGGCTTCCTGCTTCTAGGGAACTCTGAGTAAAATTCTTATTTCTTGGGGCTGGCATGGTATACCTGGTAAAGCTGGTGCCTGTGATGTTAGCATTCCATATGGGTGCTGGTTTGTGCCCTGGTGCTTCACTAACAATCCAGTTCCCTGCTAATGGTTTGGGGAAAGCAGTGGAGTGGAGGATAGCCCAAGTGTTTAGTCCCCTGCACACACCTGAGAGACCTAGATGAAGCTTCTGGCTTCCTCTGATCCAACATTTGTGAGCTTTTATAACTATCTAGGGAATGAATGAGTAGGTGGAAGGTATCTCTCTTTTTCTCTCTCTTACCACCTCTCCTTCTCTGTAAATAAATTTAAAAAATCTTTTAAATAAACTTATTTTTTTTACCTCTTGTCTGCATGCATTACTATTTGATTAAGATGAATTTTAAGGACATTTTATAATAGTATGAGGTCCGTCCTCCAGGGTTCCTGCTTTCTTGAAGGGAGCCAGGTGCATAAATGACTTGGATTCTCTTGGTTCCTCTAGGCCAAGTGCTCAGAGCCCTTGGGAGACTCCTGTAGAGGTGAGGTGAGTCTGGATGGACAGGTAGAAGGGGCAGAGACTATTGACAGAAAGGACTTTTTAAAAAAGATTTATTTATTTTTATTAGAAAGGTAAATTTACAGAGAGAAGGAGACAGAAAGATCTTCTATCTGCTGATTCACTCCCTAAGTGGCAGCAACACCCAGAGCTGAGCCAATCCAAAGCCAGGAGCTTCTTCCGGGTCTCCCATGTTGTTGCAAGGTCCCAAGGCTTTGGGCATCCTCTAATTACTGCTTTCCCAGGCCACAATCAGGGAGCTGGATGGCAAGTAGAACAGCCGGGACATGAACAAGTGCCCATATGGGGTGACAGCACTTGCAGGTAGAGGATTAGCCAATTGAGCCATCACATTGCCCCTAAAAAGGACTTTTGATACAGAGGGAAGAACACAATAAAAGTTCATGAATGAGCTGGAACCCAGGAGATAAGAAAAGTGGCTGGTGGGAGAAAAGGCTGGCAGCTGATCACTGTAATGGACCTTAAACATGCTGCTGAGGGATCCCAAAGGCAGAGGGAGCCAGCCAAGGGTTTCAAGGGATAGAGCATCATGAGCAGAATGTTTGGGGAAAGAACAATATGAGTGTTCCTGAGATCCAATTGGAGGCTGGTATGGACCAGCTGTATCTGCCCTTGAATACCCTTCTTGGGCTTTGGGAAGGGTGGCTCAGGGCACTTGGCAGGACCCCTAGACTCTCAAACACTGGTCACATGAGGAGGACATACAGGAAGCATGACTGCAGGGAGGAGCCCAGGTGGTAGGGCTCAGTAAGTCTGGATCTCTGGATGATGGGAGCGGCCCAAAGATGTTGCAGAGATGGGCTGCTGGGAGAGGGGTCAGAAGAAGGCTGAGAAACCTAGCTTCAATGTACCCAGAACCCTATAGATGTCGGGTGGATGACTGAATAAGAAGATTCTACTCAAAGCTTGTTGATATGTGTGACAAGGCTCATTAAGCTTAATCAAAGCAATTTTTTGGTGGGTGGAGGAAGATAGTGGCTCTAATTGTTGTCTTTGATTCTAGCATGCCACCAAGATAAAATACACCGTGTATTTGTCACCAAATTTTCGGGAAATAAGCAACACTATCACATTAAATGTAAAGGACTCCTGTAAGTGATATCCCAATTTCTGAGTAGCTCAGGGCTGGGAAATGGACCTCCTGCTGCAGTTCTGTGTGGGAGAGACTGAAGGGTGGTTTGGGACATACCAGGGCAAAGACTTGGGGGACTGCAGATAAATGTTGAGGTGCCGTCTGTTTATGGGAGGCACTGAGATCACTCAGAGATCACTTGAACAAAGAGCAGAGAAGAGGGTGCAATGGAGGAGCCAACTCTGTGAGTGCAATCATTACAAACAGCTAGTTCCCGGGGCTTCTTTCTCCCTCCGCTTACCTTCCCTGTCCGGTCCTGTGGAGTCC